ACAACGCTACTAACTCAACCTGAACTATATTCTTTTTATGCATTTCCGTCTCAATTAAGCCTTAAGGGAACTGCCTCATGATCGTCAGAAATGAAAGGCATTATTTGTTTACTTCAAAATGTTGGGAGCAATAAAGATACGCTCGTTATGATCTTTGTTGGACTGAGTAAGAAAAGATGAATCAATCCACTAGACAATAAATCTTTTAAATAAAAATGTGTGATAAAGGCTTGAATTTGCTCAATCATCCAAATAATTGATTAGTGAAGCATACCACATATTCCCAACCATGCTTCTCAGCAAATGCTTTTGCAGCTTCTTCACTATCAAAACTCAAGGCAGAGTCACCAACATTGGCATATGGGTCCCCAGTTGACGTCCATCCCATGAGAGGATTCTCCCACCTAACAGAATAATCGTTAAAAATAACAAGCAGTTCAGCCACAATTAATGTTTACAAAATTACCACTGACTCAAGTGATAAGATCAATAACCAAGTTTACTTAGGATATTGTATAGAATTTTCAAGTAACTTCTCTCAACTAGAGGGATATCCACATAGGGAAGAGTAGGAAGTCGGATATCAAACAAGGAAGAATCAGCAATACCATAAGTGAACTCTGGTGAGTAAGTTTCAAACTTTTAAATATATTACAAGGGGAAAAATCCAAAATGTCATCTAGCCTGATGTCAAATTCATCACACAGCATCTCATCACATGCAATCAGGAACAGAGAATCCATGTAACTGTAATTCAGATCTAATACAGCAATACTGAAGTTAAAATAAATGGTGAAAGAACCGGAGAGACTAAAGAATATACTTTTGGGTTGACAAAAAGTTGATCTTCCATCTTCCAACCTTGCCAGACCCTTGTTGAGAGGCAGTTCTGGCGGGCGAGTAAATTACAACCTGCATCACACATTGAGGATAAGAAGAACAATTTTGAGTCTCAGTGGCTGGCAAGAAAGGAGGAAGGAGGAGGTTGATTTAGTGGCACTTCAATATCAGTCAGATTTCAAGTTGGCATCGGTACATTCCTATATTAGAGAGGGATGACTAGGCATATCACCAGTTAATTTTCCTCACTTGCTTAAACACCCCACCCCCCCCCCCCTAAAAAAAAAAAAAAAGAATGCCTCGAGCCAAGCCGGGGAATTAGACTACAGAGCACCATTCTTTAAAGTAGCACTCATCCAAACACTATTATGGCATGCGCCGCAATGGAATGCACAGAGACAAATACAAAACCCCTCATCAATATCAAGTTTCAGATTGGAGCGTATCTGGGAGCCAGCGAACCCTAGATTAACTAAGAAACCACATTGGCAGCAGAAAAGAGGAATCGGTAATCCTAGTCTCTAGTTTATAACACAATAAAGTGAAGGTGAATTAGAGTAAAATAGATTACCCTCCTACGAAGGTGTTCTTCAGGAATTCCAGAAACCATTCCGATCTCTCCGGGTTTGACCTCGACCAATGCGTCTGAAGAAAATGGCCGGCACAGAGGGGCCAAAGTGGCGCGCAGGGCACGACCATGATTCACCGCGCGTTGCAGTGTACTAGCCATCGTCAATGAACCAGGATCTCCAGGCAATCACGCTCGGCCCAGGAAAAGTAATCAATTCTAAGCACGACACAATGCGACCAAGGGAAAAGGAAATGACACAACTTCAGCGATGCCCATGTGAGATTCCATGTTGCGCTAAATTTCATTTCTTATATTTTAAAACGGACCATCAAGTCATGGAATTTTTTTCTGGTAAAAAAAAAAAAGTCATGGAATTTTTTATTTCAATTTTCTAATTTTTCTTCTTTTTTTTTTCCAAACTACGATTCTCTAATTTTCATTTCTCTATTTAATACTTTAAAATTTAAATTTCATAAATTAAATTTTAAAACGTAAATTAATTTTATAAATTTCAATATCTTAAACTATTTTTCAAAATATTATATTCCTATTACTTTAAATAATAAAAATAAGGAATCAAATAATAGAAAAACCTGTCTAGTTTTCTTATTTTTATCTCTGTTGCATGAGGCAGGCTCTTCACAATTTAGAATCGAAATATAGAAATTATTTTAAATAAATTTAACTGACTTAAATCTTTCATAATTATTAAAAATTATTTTATATCTTCAATGAAAGATTTTAAGACTTTTTAAATAGATTAAATAAAAAATTATCTAAAATGAATAATTGAATAAAAAAAATGGACTCTTCTTCTACACCACAGAAACGTATAGAAACTCCCGAAAGGGACTGTATAGATTTTAAGCTGTAAACTTCTCTAGAAAAGATTGAGAGAAAGTTATAGCCACATGAAAAGAGATGTTGAGAAATTATTCAAGACTACCTTGTCATCAAATCAAAGGATAATCCATAATTAAAAAACTTCATATAATTTTAAATTTTCTTAATCTCAATATCTCTAACTAAGGGCTAATAATGATATAATTTTTTTATTACACATGTATGTCATTTTTACATAAAAATGTATTATTTCCTAGTTAAATCAAACATACGTTCTATTACGATTGAATTCTTTAATTATGTTTTAATTAAAATTAAAGCTACATAATTCCACTGTGGGGTGCATGGATTGTTCATTTGTTCTTATCATTGCATTCGAATAATAAATAATTATTGCATTTAAAGTTCACAATTAATTAATTACCTAAGTGAGCAGAAACAATTTTTAAAAAGAATCTAAACCTTCTTCGAGAAAATATAATTGAAATACAATAAATTAATATTATGTGGCTACGTGACTTCTTGCTTACTATCATCATTAAAAATTAAGTAAAAATGTGATTTAGCAAAATTATGCATCAAATGGTGCAGCCATTTAATTTTTTAAACATTGTTTGTCTACTTAGTCTTTACTATATGATCATGACCTGAAATAAATTATTTATATATGTAGATCATCGATTTTAATAATAAGAGTATCACTTGAAAATATAAAATGATAAATACAGATCAAATAAGATAATAGTAATTGCATGGTTGATGTGAATCAAGAGAAAATACATGCAGATTTGGCACGGCCACCGTGGAATAAGTTTCATACATTACACAGCCAAATGGGGTCAAATATGCATTTCCTTGAAAAATTTTAATATTTTACGTAATGTAATAATGATATAATTACTAAACATGCATGTCATTTTTTCGTAAAAATGTATTATTTTCTAATTAACTTTAGGTTAAGGTTTTGTTCTGAAAATTTTTATTTAGAAGTAATGTTGCCTCGAAAGTTTTTTTAGTTCAATATCGTCACAAAAGTTTTAAAATGTAACAATGTTACCTCCGCATCATTAAATAACCTACATTATTAAAAAGTTAACGTCAACCGTTAACATTTTTAACGATAAAAGTAATATTAGTTTATTTTAATACTTTCTAAACAATTTTAACACAAAAAACTTTAAAACTAACATTACAATAAAAAAACTTTCAAGACAAATTTGAATCTTAACTTTAAATCTAATACACGCTGTATTATCACTCAACTCATCAAATACACATTTCTTGAGCGTGTGTGTGTGGGGGTATGACTGCTTTACAAGTGGTATTAAGGTCCTGTTAGTTTCAACCCCATTACAAGTATGTAATGGTAATTCTTATTGCATTACCATAAATGATGTGTTTGGTTGGTCTTGTTAATGGTAAATAAGATTACAATGGTAAAGAATATTACACATTTTTTGATAATATCTATTCATAGGGGTCCCCCTATGAATACTCATTGCAGACCTGTAATCCATTATAAAATGTCAATTTTGTCCTCTATCACCCATATGAAAAGACAACAACTGCCCCACCAACAAGCATTGGGTGCAGTGGTAAAGGCACCTGACACACTCCAGGAGGACAAAGGTTCGAACCTGGAGCCGCGCTTGTTGGGAGGGGTTTACTACTGCCTTTGGTGCAAAGCACCTTAAATAGGCGTGCCTAAAACTCAACCCCGCTCCGGATTAGTCAGTTGCCCCGGGTTACCTGGTCCAGTTTAAAAGGCCAGGGACTCAGGAAAAGGTGCTGGATATCGGGGGGAATCGCGGGTCACTCGCCTTAGATTATCGGAAAGACAACAACTGCCCCAAGATTATTTTCGCCGATACCTATTCACCACCGTTGGCCTGGCAACACTTCTTCCGTCATCGGCTCCTTCTTCATTTTCATCAATGGTCTTCTTCTTTGAGTAGACGTGTTATTGATTGTCAAAACATCTAATAGATTTTGATTCTTCTGTCCATCCTAAATGCTTTTATCTCCATAGATTTTAATTAATGCTTCATTGCCTGTTGCTACTTAATGATTTAGGTTCATCTATTCAGCAGTTCGGAGATTCTTTTTCTTTTTCTTTTTTCCCCAGAACGAGTTCATGTATTCAAGTTCTAGATCTCAGGTTCCATCTAATGCTACTTATCGATTTTGATAATTAAGACTTGAACGACGGTAATTGGTTTCACGCCATTAAGACATCAATTTATTGATTTCATTTTTGTGAATTTTGATTTTTGCCTAATTTTGTGATTTGTGTCGTTGTTGCAACTCTAACTCATCGGCAATAGGATGGAGGAGGCAGAGGGAGAAAATTTCCTTTAATGACATTTTTGTCTTTTCACAATTATTTATATTTAAATTAATTAAAAAATTAATGCCGTCTCTCATCCTTTTAATATCATGCCAAGCAAAAACATGGTAATTAAAATTGCATGCATTATAGATTACACTGCATTACATTGCATTCATAACTTGTATGCAATGGAACCAAACGGGCTCTAAGTTTTGAGTACGAGTAACGTACGTCTACATTACACTACAAAATGCAACTAGTTACTTTTTATGGATAATTAGAGAAACAAATTTTATCACTAAGATATTTAAAACAACTTGAATATACGATAGACCCTTGCACAAAAGCATTCCAAATATTTTACAATGTGAGACGCCTTTGTAGTAATAAAATGCCTTGATTTTAAATTTACAGATATAACAGAAATTAATAATATATCACAAGAACAAGATTATGAAATGAATTACAGACTTGTAACCCTTCAATATTTTTACAACGTGTTACTGTCAGCTCTACCTTAGTCGTGCTAGCACATTGAATTAAAGCACCTTAGTGTCATTGTGCACTTTGTGATTTAGGATAACTCCCATCCGCCTTTCTCTTTTTCTTCCATTCTTCCAATATTTCATATGCTGAGGGCCTCTCGAATGCTGTCTCGTCCTCTTCAGTGCTTCCATCAGACAAATCCCACTTCTCATGTAGAGTCTCAAAATATTCGTCAAAATCCAGATCATCAGCAAATCCCCGCCTATCAGTAAAAAAACTTGTTCTGTCTACATTATCAGAGTTTTGAGGCCTAGAAACAATGGCAATATTATCATCATCATCATCACTGTTGACACGATCATCATGGGACGAAGTTATATTTGGATCGACATGGGAACTGCCAACAATGCCTCTAATCCATTCAGCACCTTCGTTCATTGTTGTCTCTGAACTAAATGGCACATTTGTATTTCCACCATCATCAGTTCTCTCACTCTCATCTTTGCTAGTATCTTCACTTCCAATATCAATGGTACCAGAGACATTTCTTGTTGTACCACTTCCACAAAGAAAATGCAATGATCTCGATAAATTTGAGACTGTTGGCTCATATTGAACATCACACTTGCCAAGAGCGTCCAACAAATGCTCCAGATTTTCGAGATTTATTCTGCCTTGATTTTCCTTAAACAGGTCAGTCCAGTGCTTCTCGCTTACTTGAAATGGTGCATAAGCCATAGTGGTAATAAGGACAACAGCTCTTTCATAATTATGATAAGCTGTAGCTTGAACTACCAGTTCCATAAAGAAAAAAGGAGGAGGGATTTCTCCGGCTTCCAGAAGGACATCGAATGCATGCTCCAGTAAATGCCCCTGAAATGAAGCCAAGTAGGCCAACACATTTAACGAGTCAAATTAATAAATTTGCAGGGCTAGAAAGGGGAGAGGATATAACAATGATGAATGGCAAAATATAAAAACGACGGAAGAGAGGAAGAAAGCATCATCAGCTTAGGGGGTTATACAATTAATTTTCCTCAACTTCAAAACTCGACTGACAACCCAAAAAAAAAAAAAATCATTTTTGTGCAGGTGCAGCACAATCCTTTCCAGTCCTAACCCTTGCACATATTCATGTATTGTCAGTTGGGGGAAAAAATATAATCTGTCGTCCAAGTGGCAAATAAAGATTTTGGTCACTTGGAACGACAAGAAGGCGTATTTTTGCTGACCTTGTCACTTACAAGTGAGTTTTGCACAAACTCCAAATACAGGTGGAAGTCTCATTTGCATTTTGGCCAGGATATCTTACGTGATTCCCCTGGCTAACTTTGTAATAATGAGACAAAATTGCAGTTGACCCAAATCATCTCAGAAATAATTCAGAGCTTGATGATAAAGGGAAAAACCAAAATCACCACTATTGAAATTCTAAATAACACCTCAAGCTCATACTCGAAGCCTCATGAATATGCCTTTTGTGCTGAGTCCTGTAATCATGCTTGTGCAAAAATAACTAATAATCCTACCAATCAAATAATAGATTATCTTTCTACATGACGAAAAAGAATTCAATAATATATGTCTACTACCTTGCCCGCTGTTGATGCTTCAACAAGCAATGACGCGTGTTTATTTTGATCCAGCTGATAACCAGAGAGTGTCATTTCTCTGTACACATGCTCAAAATATTCCCACTGGAGTGCACTGGCAGATGCTTCCAACATTGAGCTATATGTATACTCATCTGGTACAATGGATGGCTCGCCACCATCTCCTGGGATCCATAACAATCTGATTTAGCTCGCTTAACCTCCTCAAATAACTCTTTAGCTTTAGAGAACATATCATTTCGGCCATAAACTTTCAGCATGGCATTTATAGCCCCTATGTTAGGAGCACAGTGTTCTTTCATGTGTTCGAATATACATATGCATTCTTCAATGTGGCCACCATCCAAGGAAGACATTATCATGCCAGTGAAGGTAACCTCCAATGGCCTCGCATGAGAAAGTCTTTTAATGTTCTTAACCTGTGCCACATTCCAAAGAAAACGTATTTTATTCCTGGTTTACTGAAGAAGGCATAAGGTGCTTAAATACCCCCAGAAGTATCCATAAAGAAGCACTCAGTACCGGGAATTTTTTTTTCTTTTTTTTTTTTTAAGTCTTATATGCCTTGGAAGTTTATTTTCGTAGCGAAACTACCCTAGCCACTATCCACCGTTAAATTTGACCAGTGTCTTTGACAATCAAACTTAACGGAGGATAATAGTTCAAGGTAAAAATTCTAAGAAATAAAACTTCCACAACATATAAGAGCCAAAAAAAATTTACAAGTGCTAGATGCTCCTTCATATGTACTTCTGGGTATTTAAACACCTTATCCCTACTGAAGAAATAAAAAACAATAGCTATTTGCACAGCCATAGCATAACAATGCAAATGAAAACTTTACCTCTAGCATAGCATTTTGCCATCTCCCAAAGTTGCAAAGGCAACAAGCTAGCTCATAATACACACTGGCTGTTCCTATGATTCCTCTTCTTTCCATGTTCCTGACCGCTTCCACAGCTTCATCAACTTTGCCTTCCTTCCAGAAAGTTTTCACCAACACTGAAGAAGTCCGATAGGATATGTATGAGCATGCAAACATCAGCACCAAATAGCAAGAATGAAGGAACTAAATAAATTACCTTTATATGTCAGAGATTTGGTAGCCTCCCCGCTTTTTATCATCTTTCTAAACAACTCATGGACAAGGTTATACTTGCCTGATTGCAACATTACCTTATAACAAGGACCACTCGTGAGACTTGAATGCATATGCTTTAAACGTAAGCATTTGGAAAGTAAGAACCTTCCCCAAACAAGTTAACAAAACCAGCTTTCCCCATCAATCATAAAGACTCTCATGCCTCAAAAAGGATAGAACTTAAAAGCGGTTTGTTGTACATGAGAATAATATGAAAATCTGAGCCTTCCTATTAACATGGATACCTACATCTCTATATAAAAAAGATAAGGGGGAAACGTCCTTCACCCTTAACATTATAAAAAAATTTGAACAGAATAAACCAGGTAAATCGTTTGTTTGAGAACTGTATTTCAAAAAGAGCCGATACTATACATACGCATAAGAGATGGGACTGCCCACCTTGAGTCCTCAAAAAGCTAGAATTTCTTAACTCATGGGAACTATATTACCCAATCAGAGCTAAGTTATTCGCAGTATGACGCATCATTGGAAAGAAGAAAAATAAAAGTTATACTGAATTTCCATATTCCAATATTAGAGTATGCATGCTTCATGTTGATAAATTACCTCCATTGCAAGTCCATAAGTTGCCCCATTTGGTTTCAGACCACCCTTCCTCAGTTGCTTAAACACCCATGACACACCTTTCCACTCCGTTGATGGAACACAAGCATTCAGTATCTGACAGCAATTGAACAGTTAGTCAATCTGATAAATGGCACTACCAGAAGTTCCTCAGTGGCCTAATAGACATTTAGTTTCTTTCTTACAGCATTATATATAACCACATCAGGTTCAAGGATGGGATCCCAGTCCTTCCGGTTCATAAATCTTCTATTGGGCTTCTGTCTCATGCACTCCACAACTTTCATCAACTCTTTCAGAAGACCAGCTTGACCAAGTGTAACAGCAATGCTGTGATATGCAGCAATATCAGGATATATGTGGAGATCCCCCTGAATAAGCAGAAAGTAAAAGTAAATCCAGCAATATTCTAATAACAATTAAGGAGGAACCCTCCTCACAAAACAGTCTAGGCACTTGATTTTACACGCATCAGATTGAAAACTTGAAGGGCCTCCTTTGGCCTTCTTGCCCTCCCAAGAACCGCAAGAAGTTTTGTGTAAACAAACCTACAAGGTCATTGCAAATCTCTTTAGAACAGGCAGTAAGCAATTAGATAAGCAAAAGATTGGCATAATACCCACATATACAAAGTGTGTGCGTGTGTTAGGCAGTGACGTAGTGTTTTTCCAGGAGGGAGACATGCACATCTTGCATTTCTCCAATCAAAATGTCTATCTCCCCAAGCACCATTCTATATTTGGGCCTCAATGTAAAACTATAGAAGCAGGTGAATTATCAGTGTCAATCCCAAATAAAAGCTATTCACTCCAACCAATAGGTCTGACTGATTGTATTTGCGCACGATGGAGCACATAAATAACGAAAACTGAGGAAATACTTCCAATCGTAGGTTTGACTTAGGAATTCATACAACGCAAAAATGTCAGGGGACCTTAAACAATCTTCTTAAGCTGAAAATAATTTCTCCAGAAGACAATAATAAGCAAATTAATCACCGGCTTTTATAATTCCTGTTGTCACTTTTATTGTACACCCAATCCACCACAGAAAGCGCTTGTTTCCAGGTTCCTTTAGCGCCAAGCTTTTCGAGAATCTTCAGCAGCTGACCCTCAGTAAATTGCAATCCAGACAGCTTCATCATTCTTGCAAATTTCCAATCCTTTATAGTAATCTCCTTAGCACTTAGCCTAAATTTAAACAAAAATAGAAATAAAAATCCCTCAATAATACCTCAGCTCACAGAATCACTCTAAAATTTAGCCAGAATCGAAATTCACCACTAACCTATTAACGAGAAATCGTATCACCTCGGCCTCGCTGCGTTTCCTTGTCTTCCTCCCAGCCGCCTGGTTTTCATTTTCACCACTGAGCCAATCCTCATTCACTTCAATGTCATCGTCTAAAGCCCACCGCAACTCATCCAGCTTTCGCGCCTCAAACATTTCTTTCAATTCCTTCAAACTCTCCTTCCGAAGCTTTTCACCACCATATTCCTTCGTTCGCGCAAGCTGTAGAAATTCAACCTTCTTAAGCGCATCCCATGGCCTCCCCACCATCATGGCTTCAGCCTTCTCTCCTACTTTGGCTTCTATTGCTCTTGAAAATTCTTTGTATTCGCTCTTTAACGCCTGGAATTCGTATTCTTCCAAGAGTTCTTGCTTTTGGGACCGAGAAAGCCGAGGGACGTGGTCATCTTGTTCGGCAAGACGCTTAAGTTTTCGATTATGTTTTTGGATTTCTTTCTTACGAAGAGTGTGAATGATTTTGGGTGTCGGGTAGACACCCTTCTTGATGAGCTTCCGTTTGATATTCTCAGTGTCTGGCTCATATTGGACGACCGAAGGATGAAACACTGCTTGCAAACTTTCCATGACGAAGTTCAGAGCATTACATTACAGACCGCAAGATAAGAATGGCGGGGACTCCCAACGAGCAAGATATTCTGTGTCACCGCTTACAAGCCGCAGCGCGAAATATCAGTCATCAGAGGAATGAGAGGGAATTTATTTCCTAACAGATTATTTTTTTATTTCTGGTCCAAAAAAAAAAGATTATTTTTTTATTATAATTTTTTGCTGAAAAATTTTTGAGATAATTTGAAGGAAATTTTATCTTATAACACTAGTTCAGTTATATGCACTAGTAATTTTTTGTTTGACACCCTTATATGAACTAGTAATTAGTAAATATAAACCCTTGCAATATGGGTAAATTCAATATCATTTTTAATTAAATTATAAGGACTAATTTATCATTAATAACAGTACATTTTTTTGGTCATTTCTCTCTTGAGATTTTGAAATTTTTGAAGTAATTTTTTTTTAAAGTTCTCCCTTTATTATATCAAATTTTTTATTAGATCAAATTTCTAATTCACAGACTGTTTTTGAGCAAATAATTCATCAGACTGTTTAAGTTCATTTTTTTAAAAAATTGGCTTTTTAAGTGAGCATTCCGTTTTTCTAGAAAAACCAAAAACCAAAGTATTTCGGTTTCATCGATTTTTTGAAAAGGTTATTAAATAGGGAACCATTATTTTGAATTTGAATTATGATTACGGGGCCGGGACCTGGACAGAAACACATAGGACCCATCGTTCTACCTTTATTTATTTATTTTTTTTTCATTTGGTTTTAAACGAAATTTTTTTCCCTAATAATCAAACACCAAATATCTATCAAACAAAAACCAAATCAAAAATATCAAAACGAATTCAGTTTAGTTCGATTTTGCTTGCCCTAAATTCTTATAGTTTCAAACCTTCAAGGTCTTCTCCAAAGGCCTCCGCTAAAGCCACCCCGCAATTTTTCCAAGCCAGAAAATTGAACTATCACTTTTTATACAACGAATTATCAAATTTTCGTACAACTAAAGTACAAACACGATGTAACTCACAAGAACTGCACTAAAAGTAATCCCTGACAAATATGGCATATCGTTCACGTCCCCAAACGATAAGAATGATATGATATTAACATAACAAAAATCCGAGAAAAAAACAAAGGGCAAGAATAAGGCTATGTGAAACCGAGTTTTAGATACGCAAATGCCACCACCAACATCCAGACTGAGCAGTTACAGCAGAGTTCAAAGCAGAGAGGAACTTCTCAGCTCTTTGATTTGGAATGCTTCACGAGCCAATCTATAACAGAGTCAATATTAGTCGAGTTTTTGCACGAGATCATGAAGCAGCAAACTTCTCTGTCGGTAATTGACGTCAAATCCCTGCACGCCAGGCAGCTCTTTTAGCACACAAGTAAAATCAAGGGAATCAAATATGGAAGACGCAGAATGAGCAGATCAGTACTCATTAATTTTACGCATCACTACATGCTAAAGATTTAATCTGTTAATAGAGCACAAAGGTACCGATCCCACCTAATGAGATAAAACTTTGTTGTTATTATTGTCTATTATTTACAAGAGTTTACCATAGTGGTATTTATCTTACATTTGATCAGTCAATGCTTGTTTGGTCAAAGCCCCCGACTTGTCAATCTTGTTCCCCAACACCAACAAGGGTATACCATTCAATGATGGTTTACTCAACAAATCATGAAGTTCGCTTTTTGATATGCTAAGATTGTCTGGATCGGCAGCATCAACAACATAACTGGGGCAAAGATGAGATAAGAACAATTGAGTTTCACAGATGAAATTAGATTAACAGAAACATAATCATAACCAGATTAAGAAAAATAGACTACACCACTAGTGCAACTTCACTAGTACAGAAGGCCTCATTTCAAAGAAACACGAGCAACTAATACTAGGTCAAATAAGGCAAAATCACAGTACTTAAGAGGCAATAACTAGCAGCATCACAACTTTTTCGTTCAAAATGTAACCATTTCGTTTATAACATAGGCAGTCAAATGCTTCTTGAACAAGACATCAGGATTTGTGTAGTAAAACCGATCTAAATCTAATGACCAGTAATCAAATCTAGGCAGAGCTTCCAGTAGCAGTCACTTCCTTGCCCTACAAATAATTTAATCATGATGACCAATATCACGTAGAAAATTCACCGCCTGAGACATATGTCAATGACAGAGAGGCAAATATATTTAATGAATCAAGCAAATGAGGGCGGAGTTCCATGGACAGGCATCAAAGTAACATGCATTTATTAATCAACTAAGAACTGCGCCTTAGGCCATGACAGGAAAAATTTAACGTGTTTAGTTCTGCTGTGGAAACAAACATGCACTTGATTCGACAATTAAAGAAATATAATTAACAGAACATAATCTGGTTATAATGAACATTCAATGAAAGATTGAGCTAGACAACTAAGCAACTTGATCAGACAAAAACATTCGAGTGCTCTATACAGAACTTAACAGTTTACAATTTACCAAACATGCTGACACCATCATAAACACAAAAATGAGTCACCAATGAAAAGATACAGATCTACACTAGTGCACGAGTACATTCATCAGTAAATGCCTATGATGAACTATAATTGCATTTATCATTTCACTTTTGAAAAAATGCCAAGTCACAAAGAAAAATAAAGAATCTTCAAGGTCAACTAGAAAAAAAAATTTGGTCAATACACGATTGCGGAAACAGCACGACAGTAACGCTCCCACATGCTGCGGAACCTAGGTTGCCCTCCAAGATCCCATAACTTAATTGTAACATTGCCTTTTGTGACTTTCCTCATATTGAATCCCACCTGTAATCAGATTACATTAGTTTAGTTTAATCAGATTTCTATTATCCTTGATAGATAGAGAACTTGTCTATGCTTATGACTCATGAGTGGAGAAGAAACAAACAATATAAGCATTTGGGAAACAGAACTTACCGTTGGAATCATGTCCTCACTATAGCCCCCAGTCTAGAAATCAGATCATGGAGCCAACTTTCAGTGAATAAGGTCCAAATTATGAAGAATGAAAGAAATAATACATCAAATGAAATTTAGTACTGTTATTGTACTTACAGCAACGACATTTACAAGTGAAGTCTTTCCAGCATTCTGAAGTCCTATCAGAGATAACTCCATTTCCTGCTTGAAGAAAAGGCTGCAATCAAATTTACAACGTATTAAGCTTAACCACATTGAAGAAATTGGACAAATAATTTCATGCAAGGACAAATTACATGATAGAAAAAGACACTGCACATGTCCACTAAGCTCACACATGCATCCATAGGCCATGCATGCGAATGCGTGTGTGTGCAAGATACAATCAAAAACTGAAAAAGTGAGTTAAACAATGTCCTTTGAGATATGTTTACTTTCAGAAGAATTTTGAAAACAGTTAGCTTAAAGTTGATAAGGACTCGAATTTCCAATGCAGCAATTGGATTATCTTCAAGCTGTCTCATCACAAAAGACGCTCCTACTAATATTTCTGTGATGAATGTTCATAATTCGTTTAGAAATAAACTTCTTCAGACGAACTGAAACCGTCCAATACAGACACACTTTCTTCCTCAATATCAATTAATCCCTTGCAGCATTACAGACAACATTAAAATTTCAACTTGCAATTACCATACCTTTTTTCTTATCTTTTTTCGTCTTTCCGATCAATGAGAGAAAACTCAAAATTTGCAAGTCAATTTACGAGTTGCCACTAAACAACTAAATAAAATCTCAGTGATAAGCCTCCCATCCAGAATCCAAACTTAAGACCCACACAATACACAAAACGAAGGAAAAGGACAATGGCGAACTGAATTGATTTCATGAAAACAGGTGTCAATTTACGCAGCCAATGAAGGCAAAGCGAGAAAACCAACCTGCGAAGCCAATTGAGAAAAGCTTCCCATAAACCCATTGGTTCTGATCAAATACAAAATAGAAAAGGGAAAAAGTAGATCTACGATTCCTCTGTTTGAATTTGGGAGATCCAGGGGCTTCGCATCCAATTGATCTTTCACAATCGTCCTCGTACCCTCTTCCTACCTAGCTACTGTTCATCACATCCACATTTCATGGCTCCTACCCAGATTTAAATAACCAAAAAAAAAAAAAAAAGAAACTTCGCCTTTCCTCCGATCGATGTACGAATATCGAACGGTCATACGCAATTGAATCAATCATCGTGTCCGTTAAACCAGGCGGGTCCCATACCATAATTGAACTCAGCAAATAGCTCCGGGATCATGCCATGCCACGATTGCCTATCTGTTCTGTTTTTATTTTTGGTTTAAAAAATGAAGATTCGATCGAATGGGAAAGATATCGAGAATGGCCTTCTTCCACTCTCAGTGATAGCGCGTAAAAGACACACACTGCCAGGGAAGGGCAGAAGCCAGGCAGCTGGCACTGGGATAGCAATTGGGCCCTGGGCCCCCTCTCGGGCGAGTGACCAATGCCTTCACCTGTTTTTTTTTTTTTTGGGCAACAGCTTTTTTTTGCTTTTCAGCTGTGCCAGACTCGAGCTTCCAACTGGCGCGTAAGAATGGGGAGAAGTCACTTTAAGAACAGGGAAACAAATAATGCAGCTTCCTAGTTTTTGGTTGCAAAACAAACAAACAAAAAAAATTGATCAAATCAAAATATTCTTGCTTTAGTCAAAACCGTCCAAAACAAAGCAACCTGTGGCTGTGGAAACTAAAGAACACATTTGGTACCTAAACATTAAAAATGGGAAGTGGGAAGTAAAATTGAGGTTAAAAAATATGTCAAAAGATTTTTTTAATATGAGTGATTATTTATTATTTGGGAATGGGTAAATCATATATGAAATTGAAAAATATCATGGGGAGAAGTGTAGGGGCGAGTAACAAACCCATTATCCGCTAGCCCGCCCATGACCCATGAAATTTTTGCCCATTTAAACCCGCCCAATTAGCCCAAATAAGAAATTATAAACGGGCGGGCTTAAATGGGTAGGGTAACCTATTAAACGGGTTGGGCTATGGGCAAGGTATTGGGCTGCCCATACCCGCCCGTTTAAGTTTTAATTTTTTAAAAATATTTTTATTCTTCATTTAA